CATGTATCGATACATGTGCTTATCCAAATAATGTGCCTCTGTGGAGGAAATAAACCATTTGGAGAATCAACCTACATTACTATTAAGAAGTCTTTCCCCCTCATTAGTGATGTGACTCAACAGTACCCGGTTGAGCTGTAGTCAATAGAAACAATGACATTAAAAGAATGTTGAGAGCCTAAAGGGAAGCACTCAGGTCATGAGATGGTAAAATTAAGGTTGCCTGGACAATTTTTTACTCTGCCTCCTTTTGTGCATGTTAGAGTTTTAAAATATGACCTCCCCTAGCTTTCAAACAAATAGTTCAATGTACTTTTAAAAAGACAATCTTATGGACACGTTTGGCATGTTGTAGCCTTTCAGGCAGTGGGTACTGTTGGGCCTTACATTGTTTAGCAAATTTCTCAGACTATCATACAACTTTTTTCTTCTGCCATCTTAGATATGCTTTACACCCACTTCCAGGCCCTTTTGAGCTGCCAGAGTGATGAAAAGGGACATTAGTATAAATGAGATTCAGATCCTTTGTCTTCATTGACTTACTTTTATACAACTGAAAAAGACAGGTATAATGGAAGAGCTACTTCCTGTTGAGATATCATTAAAATTTATGTCAGATCTTCAGCTGGTGTAAATTGGTACAACTATACTGATTTCAATTAAGCTATACCAATTTGTGTCAGCTGAAGATCTGGCCTTATGTTTGTAATAATAACAATAATTATTATTTTTTCTACCACCCTAGGATATATGAGCCCTAGTCATAGACCAAGACTCCATTAAGTCCTGATAACAATATTAACTTCAAAATGAATCAGAAAAAATTAAAGGTAGAATAAATGAAGAACCTAGATCCAGAAAGCTATTTAGGCTCCTAACTTCCATTGAAATCAGTGGAAGTTAAGGGGCTAAATATCTTTTTGGATCTGGGCCTAAGTGTCTCTCATAAAACTGGATGGATCTACTATACATTATACGCCACTTTGGGCTGGCATAATGTACCCAGAAACCAGCTTCACTGGGTAGGGAGCTGAAAATGACCCCTTGAGACTGGAAATTTTCATGCACCTTTAACAGTAGGTGTGACTACACTTTCACTATCAATAATCCCATTTGAAAGTTGTAGCGAAATGCTGCTGTCGCTAAATGGATGGACAGAAATATAGAAATGATGTTTGTCTGAGATTTATGTATACATTTTCTGATCCAGAGCTGTTCATTAGATGTGTGCAAAAAATGGTCTAATGCAGACTTTCAGCAAGGCTTTCAGGGTGAAATAAGCTTCTGAATAAAAGAAAATGGTCCCTTGAGCCACCCCAAAAGCAGCTCTTGGACAAACCTCAAGGAAAAAATATGAATATTTGGAGCTCCACTGACCCCACACTGATGCTTTCCTGAATTCATCACTGCGGAGTCTAATTTTTGCGGTGTTTTGTAGGAGGTAATTTCTGCGCTGGTTATGATTTGAAAGAGCTGGCCCACAACCCAACCTCAATAAAATTGGAACAAGATGTCACCAAAGGTCCTGGTCCCATGGTACGTACTTGGAAACAGAACTGTGCAGCATGGAGAAGTTTTTGCAATTCAGTGAAACTAAAGTCAGTTTTCGTGGCTTGAAATTGCTGCAGGATCATATCATTGTGTTTCAGTTGTTTTGCTATATGTGTGAGAGGCAGCTGTTTTGTTTTTAACAGACAAAAAAACTTTAAAATCTTGATTTATGGAAACAAGTGACAAATTTCTGTTAACTTGCAGACACAAAAAGGGAAAAAAATACTTGTCGTCTTTGAAGTTAACTAAAATCAAATGGGATTGTTTCCCCAAAGGAAAAGTAGGAGTTTAGTTATGATGCATCACCTCCCAGACATCTTGGAAATTATATGTACTATACCCTCTGTTTATATAAATATGAATTACATGATTATGTGCACAGGGTCATTTGTAGTTCAAATGAAAATATAGTAGGCAGAGACTGTTGAGGGATAGACAGGATCCAAAGATCTACTATTAACTATTTTCCAGCATGGTATATCAAACATTTTTTCTTTAAGTTGAATGGTAAAGAAAACTTTGGCCCAGTGTCATATGTAGGTACTTGAGTCATGTCTGGAAAGCTGGATTTTCACTAGTGTTAATATGATCCCAGTCATTCTCCATTTGTATGGTATCTCTACCATGAAGACTTTGGTGCAGGAGTTCACCGTTTTGCTCAGAAACAGACAGATTCTTCTGACTTTATAATCATTCTGCCTTCTAAAAATGAGTATCTTTATATTCGTACTTGCTGTGGCTGGTGGTGGGGGAGTGGTACATATGAAAACATAAGAACTTCAGGTTCACCTGGGAAGTTTGCTAGAGATGGACCACTTGTAAGGTGGATGTGTTAGGTAACTGTTTTATTTTCAGTATGTTAGATGGCTGTGCTCAATGCTTTGAACATCACTTTATATGGGCACTGAGAGATTTACCGTATATACTCGATCATAAGCCAGTTCGTTTATAAGCCGACCCTCCCAAGATGGATAAATAAAAATGGAAAATTTTTATGACCCATTCATAAGCCGACCCTATAATTCAGGGGTTAGCAAACTTTAGCTCCTGAGCCATCAGGATAAGCCACTGGTGGGCCAAGATGGTTCCATATAGAGCACATTTGCCAGAAGTACATTAATGGTGATGTGTTGATCAAATCCGTAGTCTCAGAAAACAAAATGTTGAATTAGTTACTTGGGTATCAGAATTCATTCACCATACATTGAGTCAGTTTTGTTCTTATCTTAGGTAGTGTGAAGGTCAATAAAGTTACCTTGATTTCGTCTCAACCAGAGAAACCTAGTATCAGTCTCACTGGATAGAGTAGTGCACATTCCTGTCTGAAGTTTGCTGCTGATTCTCATATCTGTAAATTTATTTAGCATTTTGACAGATGAGGGTGTATAACTCAAATAGAATGAAATCTTTTCTTCCTGAAAGTTGTTATTCTAGAGTCTTTTTGAGAATCTTGTCTGAGACTCAACATATACAAACAAAATAATCCTGCTGTTTGAATTGTTGTGTTCATGAAAGAGTAGTAATTTGAGTGGGTGAATAGCTTATTTAACTGTGCCTCAAATTTTCCATCTTTATAATATAAATAACAAAACTTATTAGCCCTTCTAAAGTAGTTTGAGGTCCTTTGATGAAAGATGTGGTTTAAGTGCAACATGTTTTTAAAAGACAGCCACAGAAGCTATGGGTCACAGTATGCAGTCCTCTGTCTTTCACTTGCTGAGCCCAATAGTCTCTCAGAGGCATGCCTTTGTATTAATGCTGACAGCTGTGGGATACATTTGGTCTGTTAGCATACGGACTACTTCTCTAAATTACTGATGCTTGATCCTTAATACAGTCCTAATATGCATAATTATGGCATTCAAATATTATATGATTGCAGTGTGTACCATGAAATTTGAACACATTGAAAACAAATCAAGGATGAAATGCCTTCTTTAAAAAGTGAATTTCCTTCCTTCCATGTGTACTGTCTCCCTGATATCAAAACTTGCTCAGCTGACAAGTAAAATGTCTTTCTTACTGTCAGCCGTAAAAATTCAACATGGGCTCTGAAAGTGTAACTGGGTTCTTTCTGCCTTGCACATCATAACCAGTAATAAAGGTTCTGTTAGCCAAATTGTGCCCTTGGCTGCACCTGTATAACCTTTTTGCCTTCAGATTATGCCTCAGTGGTACAAGCTCAAATTTAAAGTAAAGTTTGGAAGACCATGGAGTTGTACAGATGTATCTAAGGTCATCATTTGGTTTGCATCTTTACATAATCTATACAGGACAACTTCTGTGACTGCAGCTTAGAATTTCACTACTGTGAACATCTGCTTTAACTCACTGGCACTGGACAAATGTCTTATTAATTTTTCCTACTGCTGTCCTTATTAAACAGCAATCATTAGGCTAATTAGGTACCCAGGGATATAGCCCAGTAAAGCAATCCTGAGTAGACCGTAATCATAAAAATGTAAATTGATCACAGCAAAATCAAGATAATAAATTGAAGTTAGTATATATGGGTGCATTAGCTGATGTGCTGGTTGCAACCATCCTAGATATGGCCCAATCCTGTAAACGCTTATTACAAGGCATAGTCCTGCTGAAGTCAATAAACCTCCATCCTATATTAAGCAGTACATCCAACAGTGTTTGCAGGATTGGGTCTTTGGTATGTGCACTGTGGTATGAATGTATTAATATATCTTTTATTTTGATAGGGTCCTTCCCGAATAAAGTTTTCCAAACCAGTGATTGCTGCAGTAAGTGGATATGCAGTGGCCGGGGGTCTTGAGCTCTCTCTTTTGGCTGACCTGCGTGTTGTGGAGCAGAGTGCCATTTTTGGAGTGTTCTGCAGACGCTTTGGTATGTTTTCATACAAAATCTCTACGGAGATAGCAGAGACCAGATTTTAAAAAATGCCTTTAGAATTGCACTCCCAGTTCTTGCAAGTGTGAAACCTATATCTGTATATGTGAATTGGGTACATAGACCCACAATTTTCTGGTTTGTATGCACACAGTTTGCAGGCACATGGTTACAGATTGATCTGATAATTGGGCCCTGATCCCTTTCTCTTTGCCTGCTTTCTTTATAGCCAGATGTTACAGGCAAGTTTGGAAATTAGAAAACTATTAGCCAACTAAGGGCTCATCTACACTGGGAACTTACATTGCCATAGCTACGCTGCTTAGGGGTGTGACAAATCCACATTCCTGAGTGACGTAGTTAAGCCAACCTAACCCCCCACGTAGACGCTACTAGGCCGACAGAAGAATTCTTCCATTAACCTAGCTACTGTCTCTTAGGGAGGTGGATTACCTACACTGATGGGAGAATCCCTCCCATTGGTGAAGGTAGTGTCTACACCAGTGGTGGGCAAACTTTTTGGCCTGAGGGCCTCATCTGGGTATGGAAATTGTATGGTAGGCCATGAATGCTTAGGAAGTTGGGGTGCAAGAGGGGGTGAGGGCTCTGGCCGGGGGTGTGGGCTCTGGGGTGGGGCCAGAAATGAGTTCAGGGTGCGGGAGGGGGCTTCAGGCTGGGGCAGGGGGTTGGGGCATAGGGGGTGGTGAGAGCTCTGGCTAGGGCTGCAGGCTCTGGGGTGGGGCGGGGGATGAGAGGTTTGGGGTGCAGGAGGGTGCTCCGGGCTGGGACCGAAGGGTGCAGGAGGGTGGGACAGGATCAGGACTGGGGCAGGGAGTTGGGGCATGGGAGGGGCTATGAGGTGCAGGCTGCAGGCAGCGCTTTCCTCAAGCAGCTCCTGGAAGCAGCGGCATGTCCCCCTCTCCGGCTCCTATACAGAGGTGCGTCCAGGTGGCTCTGCATGCTGCCCCGTCCACAGGCACCGCCCCCGGCCAATGGGAGCTGGAGGGGGTGGTGCTTGGGGCAGGGGCAGTGTGCGGGGCCTCCTGGCTGCCCCTACGCATAGGAGCTGGAGGTGGGGACATGCCGCTGCTTCCAGGAGCTGCGCAGAGCCGCAGCACATGTGCGCGGAGTGGTCCCCAGAGAGCTGGAGCGCATGTGCGTGGAGCAGCCAGCCGGAGAGCTGGAGCGTGTGGAGCGGGGCAAGCTGCAGATCCCGCTCCCAAGCGGGAGCGCGAGGGCCAGATTAAATAGGCTGGCAGGCTGGATGTGGTCCACGGGCCATAGTTTGCCTACCCCTGGTCTACACTGAAGTGCCACAGCAGGTGCAAGGAAACTATATTAAAAAGTCCTTGCAGTGTAATTGAAATTGTCAGTAAGGGCTAGATTTTTAAACATATTTAGGAGCCTGACTCCCACTGAAATAAAATTGATTTCTGAAATGATTTCAGTGGGAGTTAAGTGCCTAAATACCTTTTAAAAATTTGGTCCAAAGTTGCTATTATGTTTTACTTTCATCTTATTTGCTATCCAGGGATAATTAATAACAATTTGTACAGTTTGGCATTTACTGCTAATAAACATATACATTGTGATCAATTGTACAGATATTGTCTTCAAATTCAAGTAACAGAGCTATATCCAGACTGGAAGCTATCATTTTATATATATATTTTCCCATTTTTGGGTGCATGGTATCTTGCTGTCCTTTTATTCTTCTTCTCATTCTTTCAAAATTGAAAAAGATTAAAAGTTTTGGTAAATTAAACACTTAATTAGCTAATTTACAACACTACTACCATATGTAAAGATCTGGTCCAAGAGGTGAATGTAGCTGGACTGCTTGGTAATAGTGACCATAATATAATTAAATTTAACATCCCTGTAGCAGGGAAAACACCACAGTGGCCCAACACAGTAGTATTTAATTTCAGAAAGGGGAACAACACAAAAATGAGGAAGTTAGTTAAACAGAAACTAAAAGGTGAAATCCCTGCACGCTGCATGGAAACTTTTTCAAGACACCACAATAGAGGCTCAATTTAAATGTATACCCAAATTAAAAAAACATAGTAAGAGAATCAAAAAAATGCCACCGTGGCTAACCAACAAAGTAAAAGAAGCAGTGAGAGGCAAAAAGGCATCCTTTAGAAAGTGGAAGTTAAATTCTAGTGAGGAAAATCGAAAGGAGCATAAACTCTGGCAAGTGAAGTGTAAAAATATAATTAGGAAGGCCAAAAAAGAATTTGAAGAACAGCTAGCCAAAGACTCAAAAAGTAATAGCAAAAAAATTGTAAGTACATCAGAAGCGGGAACCCTGCTGAACAACCAGTGGGGCCACTGGATGATTGAGATGCTAAAGGAGCACTCAAGGACAATAAGGCCATTGTGGAGAAACTAAATGAATTTTTTGCTTCAGTCTTCACTGCTGAGAATGTGAGGGAAATTCCCAAACCTGAGCCATTCTTTGTAGGTGACAAAATCTGAGCAACTGTCCCAGATTGAGTTATCATTAGAGGAGGTTTTGGAACAAACTGATAAACTAAACAGTAATAAGTCACCAGGACCAGATGGTATTCACCCACGAGTTCTGAAGGAACTCAAATATGAAATTGTGGAACTACTAACTGTGGTTTGTATCCTATCATTTAAATCAGCTTCTGTACCAAATGACTGGAGGATAGCTAATCTGACACCAATTTTTTTAAAGGGCTCCAGAGGTGATCCCGGCAATTACAGGCCGGTAAGCCTGACTTCAGTGCTGGGCAAGTTGGTTGAAACTATAGTAAAGAACAGAATTGTCAGACACATAGAGGAACATAATTTGTTGGGGAAGACCCAACATGGTTTTTAGAAAGGGAAATCATGCCTCACCAATCTACTAGAATTCTTTGAGGGGGTCAGCAAGCATGTGGACAAGGGGGATCCAGTGGATATAGTGTACTTAGCTGTCATGGGATAAGAGGGAAGGTCCTCTAATGAATTGATAACTAGTTAAAAGATAGGAAACAAAGGGTAGGAATAAATGGTCAGTTTTCAGAATGGAGAGAAATAAATAGTGGTCTCCCCCAGGGGTCTGTACTGGGCCCAGTCCTATTCAACATATTCATAAATGATCTGGAAAAAGGGGTAAACAGTGAGGTGACAAAATTTGCAGATGATACAAAACTGCTCAAGATAGTTAAGTCCAAAGCAGACTGCAAAGAGCTACTTTGTAAGGGATCTTACAAAACTGGGTGACGGGGCCACAAAATAGCATGAAATTCAATGTTGATAAATGCAAAGTAATGCACATTGGAAAACATAATCCTAACTATATATATAAAATGATGGGATCTAAATTAGCTGTTACCACTCGAGAGAGATGTTGGAGTCATTGTGGATAGTTCTCTGCGAACATCCAATCAATGTGTAGCAGCAGTCAAAAAAGCTAACAGAATGTTGGGAATCATTACGAAAGGGATAGATAATAAGATAGAAAATATTGTGTTGCCTCTATATAACTCCACGGTAGGCTCACATCTTGAATACTGCATGCAGATGTGGTTGCCCCATCTCAAAAAAAATATATTGGAGTTGGAAAAGGTTCAGAAAAGGACAACAAAAATGATTGGGGTATGGAACAGCTGCCATATGAGAAGAGATTAATAAGATTGGGACTTTTCAGCTTGGAAAAGAGACAACTAAGGGGGAATATGATAGAGGTCTATAAAATCATGACTGTTGTGGAGAAAGTAAATAAGGAAGTGTTATTTACTCATAACACAAGAACTAGGGGTCACCAAATGAAATTAATAGGCAGCAGGTTTAAAACAAAAGGAAGTATTTTGTCACACAACACACAGTCACTGTGGAACTCTGTCAGAGGTTGTTGTGAAGACCAAGACTATAACAGGGTTCAAAAAAGAACTAGATAAATTCATGGAGGATAGGTCCATCAATGGCTATTAGCCAGGATGGGCAGGGATGGTGTCCCCAGCCTCTGTTTGCCAGAAGCTGGGAATGGGCAACTGGGGATGAATCACTTGATGATTACCTGTTCTGTTCATTCCCTATGGGGCACCTGGCATTGGTCACTGTTGGAAGACAGGATACTGGGGTAGATGGACCCAGTCTGACCCAGTATAGCTATTCTGTTCTTATGTTCATTTATGTAAATAATAATTATGAATGATTATTCTGTTAAATTTTAATAAAGCTATAAATATCTACTATAGTTACTGCTGATAAAACATTGTTAAATTTTAAGATTTTATCATTTTCCTCCTAATAAAGTAAGTTTTTTTTTCCAATGTATTTAGATAGAGGAGTGTGGAATAAAGGCATGCAGTAGAGCTTTGAAATATTTTTCTAGTTAGTATGAAGGATGATGATAGCTCCTCCATAGTTAAGATGAAAGCTTGCTTCTCATTATAAGCCCTGTTTAAGAAACAAACAAATCAATTGCCCTGAAATCTCAGATACCACATCAGTCTTGGGAAGAGATTTTCCTGGGAAATTTAAATAAATTTATAAAATCTTTTTTCCAAATATTATTTTGTTGGCCTTGTTGAGGAGAGGCACTTTTTTCTAGGCATGGGAAGCCGGGGGAGATGCCTAAAAAGGGTTTACAATGTTAAAATGGCAGATGAGGCGTACACTGTGCAGCGGCAAACAATTACATGTGCTTTACTTTACTACCAAGAGCAGTTCTGTTGATTTCAATGAGACTACTCCGTAGTAGTAAAGTTAAGCAAAAGTAAGACATTGTCTACATTACAGGGAACTTCGGTATAACTTACATTGCTCAGGGGTGTGGATTATTCCCACCCCTGAGCGATGTAAGTTATACTCACCTAAGTGCTGTCTAGACAGCGCTATGTTGGCGGGAGAGCTTCTCCCACCGACATAGCTACTGCCTCTCATGGAGGCAGGAGTTATTAAGCTGACGGGAGAGCTCTCGTTCGTGGGCTTAGAGCATCTCGGCCACAACGCAGCTGCGTTACTGTAAGTGCTATAGTGTAGATGTAGCCTAATTTTTGGCAGGATTAGTGCCTTACTAGGGTGGTGTGCTAGTGAGTGCTGAAAGATCCTGTGGCAGCAGGGAACTGACTGGATTTCCAGACTTTTTGATGTTGGGGTAGTTGAGTTTCCGTGGCCATTCAGATCCTTGGCCTCTCTGCAAAGACTGCAAAACGTGGTAGCTGTTTTTGGGATGTGGAGACCTTTTTGCCAGGAACTGGAGTGAGGCTACCAACAACGATAGTAACTTTTAGCCTCTACCAATCTATATCTAGACTTATGACTTATGAGATGCCACTAAAAGCCTATTCCCAAGAAGGTCCCTTCCATCTCAAGAATTTAATGGGAAACTTTATAACTCTTTTAACTATATTTTGAAATGCTCAGGCTATGTTTACTCTGCACACCGCTTGCTGCAGCATATAGGGTATGTGTAGCTACATGCTGCAGTGAAAAGCCAGGTTCATCCACGCTGTGGAGTGTAGATACACATGTCCATGAAAGGCTCAGCCAGGGGGAGGCAGTGAGGAAAAGCTCCGGGGAAAGACTCCAGCAGCAGGGCACTGCATTGCTAAAGATAGCAGAGTAGATGAGGGAAGCAGTGCTTGGGGCATGAAGAGAGTTTTGTAGGGTACATACCTGCAGGGTTCAGGCACGTCTTTACTTACCTAAGCAGTGCCTCACCATCTATGCTGCTATTTATACCTGTACTAGGGGAAATGTAGTGTAGGTACTCTACAGGCAGCTGAAAGGAGTGTGCAGTGTAGACATACCTCCAAAGTAATAACTTCTTATTACAATCAAGAAGGGGGAATATGGCAAGATATTTGTTCTAGAAAGTTCCTCTGAGTTGTGGGGGTATGGCAGGGAGGGAATGCTAAGCTTCAGCCCTTAACAGCTGCAGTGACTCTACTGGTCTCACTTACTTGAATTCTGGTTGACTCATGCACAACTTGTGCTAAAATTCTTGCAGATAGCAGATGTACTGCAACTGGATTTTCACAGCCCTAATAGTTTTGTCTGAAGTAGCAGTGGATTTCACTGTTGACATTTTAGTATATTCAACAGGCAGGCCTATTTGTAAAGCAAGTTGTTGAACAAGGTTCATGCAAACTACTGTTTGTAATAGCATGGTTTACCCTAATACTTTGACCCTTGCTGTGAGAGAAAAAGCAGTGCTAAGAATGTCTGGGGAATGCAACACACTTGCACCATGCTTCTTTAGCATCTGCTGCAGTATTATGCTTATTGTAGTTTGGCCCATTTTAAATACTTGAGAACACAGTGCTTCATGTGGTGCTTTGCTTTTTTTTTTTAAAGTGAGTGGGTGGTGTGTCTTTGGAGAGAAGACACCACTCTTAAAATCTGCTTTATGTGCCGCTGTTGTCATATAATCTATACTTTGATCCGGACCACTTATCCACATGGTAGCTGTAAAGATCTGGGAACAAATTTCCCTTTTAGTTCATTTCAGATCATGACTGATTTTTATTAAACCAGTTTAGAGCATCTCCATGAAGAAATATGGTGGTGATGTCTGAGCTAAATGTGAATATTTAAAAACCTTTCATAGAAATAAATTCATATGGCTACATCCTGTTACATCTTGAATCTGTTAGGGGAGAGCACCCGGTTATAGAGGAAGAATAGACTTATGGTTAGGGCACTGGTGTGGGATTCAGAGAACCTGCGTTCAATTCTTAACTCTGCCACAGACTTCCTGTGTGACCTCGGACACGCTACTTAATCTTCCTGTGTCTCAGTTCCCCATCTGTAAAATAGAGATAACAATACTTCTCTACTTCACACGGGTGTTGTGAAGATAATTTCATTAATGTTTGTGAGACTCACGAAGTGTCTACACTTGAAATGCTACAGTGGCACAGCTGCAGCACTTCAGTGTAGACACTACCTATGCTGATGGGAGGGGTTCTCCTGTCGTCATAGTTAATCCACCTCCCCGAGAGGCAGTAGCTAGGCTGACAGAAGAATTCTTCTGTTGACCCAGTGCTGTGTAGACCGGGGGTAAGGTTGGCTTAACTATGCCACTCAGGGATGTGGATTTTTCACGTCTCTGAGTGAAGGAGCTGGGTCAATCTAACTTTTTAGTGTAGACCAGGCCTCAGTTACAATGGTGATGGAAGGGCCATATAAGAACATGAATAGCGTTCCAATTCTAACAATATATATAATTACCCTCCTAATCAAGCTGCATTTGGGAGTTTTGGAGTGGCAGGTGGCTTTCTGTTTGTAACTATCCAGAGTACAGTAAAAGCTGTGTTATCTGGCACTTTACCAACCGGAAAGCTCTATAAACCAGCATTTCTGATATTCATTGAAAGTCCAGTTTATAGTCTGGTTGGTGCAGGGCCGGCAGGCTCCCTAACTGGCTCTGCATGGCTCCCTGGAAGCAGCGACATGTCCCTGCTGCTCCTAGGCAGAGGACTGGCCACAGGGGCTCCGTGCACTGCCCCTGCCTCGAGCGCTGGTGCCTCAGCTCCCGTTGGCCGGGAACCATAGCCAGTAGGAGCTATGGGGGGCGATGCCTGCGGGTGGAAGTAGCGTGCAGAGCTGCCTAGTCGTGCCTCCGCCTAGGAGCAGCAGGGACATGTCACCGCTTGCGGGGAGCTGCTCGAGGGGAGCACCGCCTGGATCCGGCATCCCAAAACTCCTCTTTGTGCCCCAACCCCCTGCCCGGAGCCCCCTCCCGCACCCAAACTCCCTCCCAGAGCCTATACCCTGCACCCCATCCTGTGCCCCAAACCCCAGCCCCCTCCGACACCCAAATTCCCTCCCTCTTAGTGAACCGGAATTTTTGACTTACCGGCACCCCCCCATTCCCCCAACATGCTGGATAACAAAGCTTTTACCGTATCTAGTTCTAGGTTTCTGTATATTGGGGCAAAGTGTATAATTATTTATGGTGCAATCCATGAAAGTACTTAGGTGCCTAAGTCCTGTTTTTAGGCACCACTGTGATCCTTAAAACTCCTGCTTGCCCCCTAACCCAGTAGGTGCAAAAATTGACTTGGCACCTAATTTTTTGCATGTGCGCTGCAGCCTTGCTCTTGGCATCTGAACGCCCACCTCCTGCCTAAGCCCAAGAGCAATTCACAAACCAGGGAAGATAGGTGTTCGGCTGCCTAAGTCACATCTGGGGGCTTGATCCAGTAGCAATGCTCAAAGGCTGCCTACTGGATTGGGCCCCTCGGGAGTTCATAAAAAACAGCAGGAGGGTGGGAAGGCCCTCCCTTACAACCTTTAGCCTAAGGGTTAGGCTATTCACCCAGGATGTAGAAGATCCCTGGTTCAAATACCACCTCCTCCTGAGGGGAAGAAAAGATTTGAACAGGGATTGACACCTTTCAGGCGAGTGCACTAGGCTATAGAGTCATTCCAACGCTTTTGCTGACCCAATTAATATTTAATTAAAGTAGAACAAGGTCAGTAGGCGAGTGAAGGAACCCCCACCTCAGAATATTCTACATCTAGGGGGAGGAGGAACTTGAACTGGGGATTTCACATATCCAGGGTGAATACTCTATCCACTAGGCTAAAGGTTATAATGGAGGTAATGCCCCCCGATGTTTTATTTTGGGTCCTGCACAGCACTTAGGCATTCAAACACCTATCTTCCTGTGGTTCATGGATTGCAAGCAGAGTTAGGAACCCAATGCAGCCCGGACTTAGGCGCTTTTCTCTGTGAGAGGGCTTAGCTCACCCTGCTCTGGTCAGCATGTTGCATTGGCTAGCTTAAGCGGCTCCTTGCCTAGCTGGCTTGGTGGATCTCAGTCTTAGGTACCTGTCTCTCCCTATTCATTGTATAGAGAACTTAGGCACCTAAATCAGCTTTATAAATAGTAGTGTGGGTCCTGTGGTTTTTCCTAAAAGTTAGGGATTATGAAGTTCAATGTGATAACACCTAAATCCCTTTGTAGATCTGGGCCTTAGTCACACAGCTTCTGTATAAAAGCAAATCTTTCAATGCTGGTCTTTGGGAATTGGTCCTGACAACATCAGCACATTTCTAATAAACATGTAAACAACATTAAATCACTTCTTTAAGTGCAGATCTGTTCGGAAAAGTGACTTGTAAAAGTAAATCTGCTCCCTGTGCTTAGTCACATTTGTTCTGTGACAAATATTACTTTTGACCTCTGAGATCCCTGCAGAGTCAACACAGCAAAAACAGAGTGAGCTGGATTTTTGTACTCCTTGTGCATCAATCGAACTGTTTACTAAATTATGGTCCAATCGGGACTTAAATTAGAGGCCCATCCAGTAACAACTGTGCAAACTCACGAAAGGCACCGGGTTTACACAGGTGCCACTGAGGGCATAATTTGGTCTATAAAAGCATATTTATTAATGATGAAGCTAGAGTAGTAAAGAGCCTAGCTTGATTCTCAGAGACTAGGCAGTTTGCAGAGCTGACATATAGGAAAAAACCCAAACCTTTTTACTTGTAAAGTGAGCACATTTGATACAGAAATCGTCAAGGAAAAAACATGGAAGCCAGGAGTGCTGTTTTTAGAGTCACTTTTCAGGGTAGATCAAATTGCACTTACAGTTTTAGATAACTGTCTTTCAGTTGTGAAATTAAAGGGAGAATCCTGCAAACCTTTACTAATGAAATACTCTTTTGTGTTACATTAATTAAATGCAAATAAGCGGTCTAGAATACTCGAGTAAAGTCATGCAGGATTAGGCCAAAAATTGTTTTAAAACATAAACATTTGGGTTTTCTTTTAATCCTGTGGTTTTTGTCTTCACAGGTGTTCCATTGATTGATGGTGGCACTGTACGGCTACCTCGACTGATTGGTCTCTCACGAGCCTTAGATCTCATTCTAACTGGTCGTCCTGTTGGTGCCCAAGAAGCATATGAGTTTGGGCTAGCCAATCGAATAGTCCCCAATGGCCAAGGTTAGTGTTTAATGAACAGTGTAGGAAATGGTTCGAAACGTGAATCGTTTGATAGTGTAATTATCTGTATGTCTGTCTTTGTGAAGACTAGTTAACACAAAAATAATCATGATTTTTGTAATAAACAGAATTGGTTACAGGGGGGTGCACAAGAGTGGGCAAGCAGGGGCATGGCTCCCCACCCCAAATTTTCCATGTGTCCCTGCAGCCTGGGGAGGGAAGAAGCAGCGGCTGCTGGCTGAGCTCCTCCCCTCACCCGTACAGCTGCTGCTTTTCCTTCCTTGCTGCTGGAGTCCCAGGTGTTGCCTCTGCCTCCATCCCCTGACTCACCTCAGCAGGTGATCTGCAAACCAGGTGGCAGTGCTGGGATTCCAGCAGCAGGGAAGGAGAAGCAGCAGCTGTAGGGGTGGGAAGAGGAGGAGGAGCTCAGCCAGCAGTCCTGTTGCTTCCTCCCTCCCAAGGCTGCAGGAACACAGAGAGTGCTGCTGCCTCCTCGCCAGAGGCGTCCTGGGGAGAGAGAGAGAGAGAGAGAGAGAGTGTGTGTGTGTGTGTGTGTGTGACATGACGTCCTTTCTACTTGTA